GTGTGGATCCCCAGATCGAAGGGGTCCGGGGCAGCGGGCGGGTTCGTTGAAGACGAAGCCATCGCCGCGGCTTGCGGCTGCGCAAAGCGCAGATTGAGTCGTTTGTTGTGCACTTGTTAAGGATTTAGGTGTAGACAGGGCCACTTTCTTAACACTTGTATGCCAAGAAAGTATGATGACAAAGGAAGGTGTGTGAACAGGATAGTTTGTTTGTTTGTTTGTTTGTTTGTTTGTTTGTTCTAAGCAAGCTTTCGGACTCATATTGAGCTACAGGGTATGCAGCGAGATGAGAGATACACGAAGTGGTGTTTTGTAAGCTCCAATGAGTCGCTAAACGATGAAGTAGCTCGTAAAACTAAAGAAACAAAATCAACGGTATCCAGAATACTTGCCACGTTCGATTGGATAAGAGTGCAAATACCTCAATCCCCATCGCCGTTGAGAAATCGACCTGTCCTTCCACATCCAGCCAGCGATTGGCTACCGAGCGACGGAGGAGAGTCCGACGCCCCGCCAGATAAGGCCAAGACGGGGAGGGCGGTCTTGAGCTCCGGTTGGTGCTAACAGAATCAAGCTTTTTGATCCTCCATTTTGATCTCGACGCCCGCAGAGATGTCATCTGAATTTGAGGCCTCCTTTTGACTTGTGTGTTTATGGCATATGTCTTCATTCTGAACAAAGTGCTCATGAGTATGAATATGCGTTGTTCTACGTCTGGCTAAGCTTGCGTTAGTGGTGATCTTGGCTGTAAAGGTGTATCGTATCCCAACAGCCCGGGAATGTCTACCAACGGCTTCTTCTTGCAGTTTAAGCATAATCATAAATGCATATTGTGCTGCCCCACAGCACTTGACTTCTTTGTCTAGTAGTCTGACTGTTTCAGGCATGCCGAGGAGCAGGGAAATAAATTGCTCAGTATAAAATGCCTAGAGCGCTTTTCTTTCCATTCTCACCCTTTCAACCGTATCCTTATTCCGTACAACGACTGTGCCTCTGGTCACTCATCTTGCCCAACATGCTACGCCCCCCGATCAACTTCCTCACATTACACTGTGATGCTACCCACTTCCGCGTGCAGCCTCTACCATTTGATAGCTAATCTTTGATTTGCCGCTAGATGCGTACATCATCTTGATGGGCTTGATAGCCCTGCCTATCCTGTACCCTTACGGAAACATGCCCGCCATCGACGCTTGGTTCTTTGGTGCCAGTGCGTCCACAGAGTCTGGCTTGAACACGTGCGTTGCTTACTCTCCTTTGCTGCACTGTCGCCATGACGATTTCTGACATGTTTGGTAGTATCGACGTCAAGGATCTCAAGACATATCAGCAGCTCTACATTTACTTCATTCCTATCTTGACCAACCTGGGCTTCATAAACATAGTGGTAGTTGTCGTGCGCCTCTTTTGGTTCAAGAGGCATCTGAAGCGTCTTAGTGAGTAATTTGCAAATCCGTTCAATCGTTACCCCATGGCTTCTCACAGCAACCCGCAGCCCCTCAAAATCTCGGCAACAGCCCAGGTATACCTGATGTCGACATTGAGAGTGCTCGTCATGAGTCAAAAGTCCCTGCTGATACGACTGAAAACTCTGACGAAGTCACTAATGAGCCAAATGGTAAGGCTAAAGCGACAGATGACCGCATCGAAGAGAATGCTACAATTGCAAATGAAGACAGGCGAGTGGCCCGTACCATGACCATCACCTTCGATCCATCCACCGAAAAGCACAAGGAAGACGCTGCCCTCTACATCCCTGGTCCGCGAGCTCGCGACCGTGGTAGGTTTACTCTTGCACGCCTCAGATGAGTACTGACAGATCAATCAAGGGTATCCAATCGCTCCCAGAAGCCATGAAGCCGCGCGTCATCCAGACGACAGTGATGATGGTGGGAGATTCTACCGTATAGTATCTGTTCATATACTGATCGATCATAGATGATGCAATCAAACCTGTACCCAACGAAATTCAGAACAACGGAAGCTCATCCATGCGTCGTCGGCGACGCTTCAGCAGTGATGATGGCCTTAAATTCACAGATTCCCGCTCCATGGATCGAGTCGCGGGCGTAGCAGCTTCGTTCCTGGTTCTGGGATCACAGACAGCGCCTCAGCCGCGCGCCATCTCTTCAGACTCCAACCGACAGCCTGTCATCAACGACGTCCCTTTCCTCTCGCGCCAAGCTACCCTCGGAAGAAACTCACAGTTCAAGAACCTAACATCACATGATCGAGAGATTCTCGGTGGTATTGAGTATAGGAGTCTGAAGCTATTGCTGAAGATCGTCGTGGGTAGGTACCCGCGTTCCAAGTCGGCAAGGGTCCATGATAGCTAAAAGCACCTCCAGTTTACTTCTTTGGTCTTCATATCTTTGGTGCGGTTTGTCTCGTCGGCTGGATCCATACTGCTGATAAGCAATACGCGGATATCCTACAGTCAAGCGGACAGGATAAGACCTGGTGGTAAGTACCCAGAGACCTGTGCATTACAAATTAGCTGACCAGATTGACCCTTCAAACAGGGGCATCTACTCCGCTCAGACAATGGTCGATAACCTAGGCTTTACTCTCACACCGGACTCTATGATCTCATTCCGCACTGCCAAGTGGCCCATGATCCTCATGAGCTTCCTCGCATTCGCTGGAAACACGCTCTATCCTGTCTTTCTGCGTTTGGGCATATGGGTCATGTCAAAGTTAGTACCAAAGACCTCACCTACACAAGAGTCCCTCGCATTCCTGCTCAACTATCCTCGTCGATGCTACACGTTGCTCTTCCCTAGCGGTCCGACGTGGATCCTCTTCGGTATCATCTTCGCTCTCAACTTCATCGACATCCTTCTCATAATAGTTCTCGACCTCTCCAATCCCGAAGTTGCCTCTCTTCCACTTTCTCAGCGCATCCCAGCCGCTATCTTCCAGGCTGCATCAGCGCGCCATACTGGTACCGCTAGCTTCAATCTTGCGAACGTCAGCCCCGCTGTGCAGCTCAGCTTACTGATCATGATGTATATCGCCGTTTTCCCCATCGCGATCAGTATTCGCGCGTCAAATGCTTATGAGGAGAAGTCCCTTGGTCTTTGGGACGAAGAGAAGCCTCTAGATGAGAAGCATAGCAAGACTTATCTCTTAACGCATATGAAGAACCAGCTTGGTTTCGACCTTTGGTATATTTTCTTCGGAACTTTCTGTATATGTATTTCTGAGTCGACGAGGATAGCGGATGTCAACGAGCCTGTAAGTACGCTTCCAAGTGTCATAGCAAGGATATGACTTGACAATGGTCTTAGGCTTTCTCGGTATTTTCGGTCCTGTTCGAAGTTACCTCTGCATAGTAAGTGGTGCTTGAGCGGGATAGGCATGAGGGACAGGAACTAACTCTCTGTCCAGCGGAAATGTTGGGCTGAGTCTTGGGTACCCAACAGTGAGCACCTCACTCAGCGGCATGTTTGGAACCTTTGGAAAAGCAGTCATCTGTCTGATGATGATTCGAGGGCGTCACCGTGGATTACCATATGCCCTCGATCGTGCCATAATGCTCCCCACTGGACAGATTACTAAGAACTGAATAGTTCTCGATAGGATACCGAGACTCTGGTAGGTAGTCGTTGCTGTTCAGGGTTTGATATGCGATATCCTTCCAGGGACTTCTCTAATGATTCGACTTGACGTCTTGGAATAGGATTTTCTTGATGCCAGGCCAGTGTAATTAGAGACTGGCGCAAAATCTCATCAAACACAATCGATGATGTATGTGAAGTATTGATCCAAGATTCTCAAGAAAACTTGAAGTAGTACCATTCCCATGATTAGGATCAATGCAAGCTTGGAGAAAATCCTAGATTAGGCGAAATATATTATAAAGACAGTGGAACTTTTGCCTAATTAACTTGATGCCATTTTGAGACCGGGTTTCGAGGATTTAAATAGAGGTTTCGTTTCGTTGAACATCCAGCATCTTCATTGGCGCGCTCGGAAAATGAGCTTTGCTATTGGTCCATTTCCGCCGGTACAGTCAGACCTGACCCTCCAGAGTCATTGAATAAAGAGCTTATCAAAAGCGATAATCAGCTCGAGATTCTTTTCGGTCAAAAGTTCATCTCAGTGGATATTTCGGATTCTTAGGTTTCTTACTGGTTCAGCATCATTCGGTGAAAGCCCTTCGCCTCAAACTCCAGTTTAATAAGCAACCAACTCGTCCAAGGCGTACATTTTCCCCTCGTGTGCCGCGAGATAACATGGGACGGGTTACATTTGGAGACAAATCGGCATCTAGTGCTGACATTACAGAACATGTCAGCATGAATCGCTCAATACTGAGTCGTAACCACGTTATCTTGATCGAGATCAACCGCACACAAAATTAGATCCTCTGATCAACTAATAAAGGGCCAAAGTTCATCTTGCCCGGCATGCTCATCACAATCCACATATATTGTCACTCATATATCTTACAGCAAAGGAGTACTGAGGTCAACAATAACTTGTATCTTGATTACGATGGCGAATAACACCATCTTCATGTCTCCTGAAGAGTCGGAGCGTATCCAACGTACAATCAAAGATATTGCAAGGCTACGTGAAGAACAGACAGGCCAGTCGAGGGAACCTACAGATCCCAAATCCTTGATTGAGCAGGCTATCTCTACGTCTCTTATGCAAGAGATGTCGTCTGCAGCCTTTGGGTTTGGTGCGCCAAGGAAAGCTCGAGAGACCATGGTAGCTTATGGTATAGGCAGACCATATCCCCCCAGTACAGCCAGACTTGCAGACCTACAACCTATGGGCATCAAGGACTTACAAAGGGAGACACATCATCGGGGTTTCTTTCTTCCCTTGCGTCGTGTGTCGCCTGTAGCTATACTTCAGGCCTCCTCCTGGACTGTCGTCAAAGACCAGTCATCTGACGAGGTGGAGCGCCTGGAAGTCTTTCTCCATACGTCGCAGTTTGGCGAAAACATCCTAGACATAGCTTCTGAGCTGGTGGTCAAAGAGCCGTACTACACTCTCAATGGTCAAGGAGAACGCACGATTCGTATAGACCATCCATCAGATCTCGTCGTCCGCACGATGTCCGGGAGCCAAGAGTCGTGGCGGCACAAGGAGCATTACTCAGGAAGACCTGACCTTGCGTCTCCGGAACATTACAAGAGGAAGGGAAACGACGCACTTCTGAAGAAGAAGAACTACTCCGACGCGTACTTTTGGTATACGGAGGGTCTGAAGCTTTTGAAGAGTGACGAAGGTTGCGAGACTGTACGCAAGGACCTGCACCGTAACCGAGCCCATGTCAACCTCCACCTTCAGATATTCGATGAAGCAATATCGGATGCCTTAGAGTCTCTGACTAGTGATGAGACTAAAGATCTTAAGTCTCTTGACGCCAAGGCATATAATCGCGCAGGTCTTGCGGCATACTCTCAAGGCGAGTTCCTCAAGGCTCGACGCTACTTCGAGCAGCAAGAGAGACTCCAACCAGATGATCAGCATCCGAAGCTACATCTACGAAGAGTCGATGCAAGACTGCGAGAGGAGGCTAACGGGATCTACAATATGAGCAAAATCGTGAGCAATCTATCCAAGACGGGAGGCAGGCCCGATACAGCCTCGTATTACGGTCCAACAGAGATCAAAAACAGCCCTGGAGCTGGTCGTGGTCTTTTTGCAACCCGAGACATCGAAACAAACGAGATCATCTTGTGCGAGAAAGCGTTTTGTGCGGCCTGGAGTCACGAGGCCGAAACGTTCACGGCGCTGGCGTGTGATCTTCGAGAAGACGCCGCAATCAAGGTCTTCCCCGCTGGATTGCATAAAGCCGTCGTGAAAAGGCTTCTCAACAATCCATCGCAGGTCGAGAAGGTACTTCGTCTACATGGCGACTACCATGGACTTGGGGGAAAATTGCAGGAAGTCGACGGTTCACCTGTAATCGACACGTTTCAGGTACACGATATCATCCAACGCAACGCCTTTGGTTTGGGTCAACAAACCGAGGATGAAGATGTCAGCAACGCTAGTACTGGTCTTTGGATACGGGCATCTTACATCAACCACTCTTGTATTCCCAATGCAAAGAAGGATTTCGTTGGTGATCTCATCATCTTTCGCGCTATGAGAAGAATTGTAACTGGTGAAGAGATCACCCACAGCTATGATGAGTCGAGTTACTATGAGGCAAGAAAGACAAACATTCGGAGGACATGGAACTTTGAATGTCGCTGTCAGCTTTGTCTTGTTGAGGGAGCAGAGAGCGAAAATATCCGGAAAGGAAGGCGGCAGGCTGAAGAGAAGGCAAACTACTTTGCAAAAGCAAACAGCCCTTATGATGCGAGTAGGATTATGGTGAGAAGGTCAAAGATGCTACGTCAGACACTCAACGAGACGTATGATGAGAAGAGCTATAAAGGACTACCGCGTCGGGCACTTGCGGTGATAGACGAGTGGCTCCGGATAGCCAGTACCAGGTAGTCGTTACATGTCGGAAAATACAAGAGATATCAAGAGTCTAAGATAAGATACCTCATTGTTAACTCATACGATGTAGCTCTGTCCGTGGCGTTTCCTCTGTCTCGCAATGCGTTTTTGCTCTACTGCCTGCCAAAGTTATTCAATAAGTAAACATTACCAAGGTATTCAATGTGACTGTACAAAACCATTGTCCACGATGCGTGACATTCTTACAGTAAAGTACACGTTCCGTGTTCTTGCAGAGATCAAGGCCATTGTTTACATAACCAATAGATAGGATTATTTTATATGTTCCAAGGGGCATATGCTCGCGGAAACGTTAATAGGGAATGTATAATGAATACTACGTATGTACAACCATTGCAGATCAGACCTTCTGAAACATGATGAGGAGGGAGATCATCATATCATACCATGTCAAATCGTTGCATGAAGCAACCTGCCTCTCAATGTATGTAAGCGCCAAGCCAACCAGGCATTGGGCATGTCGTACGCGCAAGCCGAGTATCCCGGTCCACTCACATGCCAGCGCCGAGACTCTCCAACTACCAGTGATTCTGAAGGAGGCCGCGGATCTGAAATATGCAGGCAACGTGGCGCAATAAGGGACATCGTCTCGTAACCCAAGCCTCTTGTTTATTTCGCCCAGCCTGAGACGTGCATAACCGCTGGGAGGAAAGATGCCGTTTCCGTTCTTGGCCAGGATTTACCCCATAATATGCGGGAGGCCAAGGCGGTAAAATGCGGGCGGGAGTGATCAGATAGCCGACTCCTCCGCATTGTGGTGAGGTTCAGGCTTGTGAGGCCTCTCGTGAAGATAACTTCATCATCCGACTTTGTATCTTGGCACATATGCATGTCTCACACTGGAACACAGCCTGAGAGATGGAAAGAGGAGGAGAGTGCGGGGTTGGATGAGGGATGGGTTGTATATAAAGACGCCGTTCTCTGTTCTACAATTGTTCAAAACAGTTCACATCATCACAGTTCCTCCTCTCTCCTTCAACGAAACTTGTCTCTCTACTCTCAACAACCTTCAAAATGGGCAGACTCGACAACGACAACTGGCTGTACCCAGGCGACAGCCTCACCAGCGATAGCGGCAGCAACGAATTCAGGATGCAAGAAGACGGCAAGATCGCTATCTACTGGGAAGGTGAATTTGTGTGGCAGAACACAGAAGACCAGCGCGACGACATCAAGGGAGTTCATCTTCAAGATGACGGAAACTTTGTCTTGTAGTAAGTATTTTTCCCCTGAAAAAGGGCATTGCAAGAGCTGATGGTCATTCTAGTACCCATGACGACGAAGCTGTTTGGGCTTCTGACACTTGTGGCCACGGCGATGAGGTCTATCTCGCTGTGCAGGATGATGGAAATGTTGTCTTGTACAAGGGCGAGGATGATGAGGCAGAGGCCATCTGGGCGACTAGCACCAACCAGATTTAAGCATCTCAGGCTAGTTAGTGATCTGTAGAGAAGACGAGGAATAAAAAGAACAACGATATCACCGTGGTACTCATAAGTGCCTCATGATTCAAGTTGGGATGTTTCTTGAAACTGATCTAATCTGTGAATGTCACGTTTCATTGATCACCGACTTCATGTTGCCCATTCTGAGCACTGATCAGACATCATCAAGAGCCACGCCCGGTTAGCTCAATCGGTAGAGCGTGAGACTCTTACGAGTACGCGATCTCAAGGTTGCGGGTTCGACCCCCGCATCGGGCTGTTCCTATATTCGATTGCGAGCGTTAGCGAGGCTTTCATTTTTGCATTTTCATCTACCGTTTCCCCCACGTTCTTATGCTTATCCCACGTGCATTGTTGAATGGATGGACGAATGGAGCTGGTGACGCGTAATGCTTCAATCACTTTGAGTTTGTCTTTCTACTTGGAACAGATTTTGAGTTTATGCTCCGCGGACCCCGCCCTGGCTGTGAGGCTGTGATGTCGCCATCTCCGGAGCGCCATTCTCATTTCATCTTCATGCAGATCGACACACTGTAATTTTCAAGAATAACCATGCGCATAGAAAAGTTTCCCTTATCTCCGCCTGGCTTGGAAGAGCTGGTAGCTAAACTTCAAGCACCCTTGGCAGCCAATTATGAGCACTCCACAGTGAGTGTTGTGTCCTGCCCGGATCTTCGGCAAGCGCCCTATCATCTAGCTACCGAGGGGTTATCAGGAGCTGAGAAGATAGCAGATGTAGGAGGTCAACCGAATTTGTTCCCGCGCCCAAAGATGGATTGCGTTTGGTCCATGACTGACCTTGCGGAGGCTATGGACATGGATCCTGCGAAGGGGGGATTACTTGGTGCTGGAGCTGGCCCGCATCCCGTTATCGGGCAGAACTGTGAACTTGCGCCAAATATTGGCTGGCAAGGCAGCTTTGAGAATGTCAAAAATGAGAGTCGCTATGCAAGGATCGACAAGGAGACAAGCGCTGTGCATGTCCACAAGAGTCCTTCTTTGGACTGCGCCTTGATGATCAACTTGTTCGGCTCCTCAGGCAATCCGGGACCTGTGATCAAGATCACAGCTCGAAAGAGGACCGGCTCTGAAAGAAGTTTTGCAGAGTGTATCCGAAAAGGTCTCCGTCAAGCGTACGGTGACAAGCAGACTGTCAGTCTCGGTGGACTCTTCTTGGTCAAGAAAGGCAAGGCAAAATACCATATCATGCCTGACTTCCCCGCCGAAAAAGATTTGCCATTCAGTAATCGCAAAGATGTTGATAGTTGGTTGACCTTTCACGACTTTGACGCACCAATGCTTTGTTTGTCAGTCCTGCATTCGGCTGATCGTGAAGGAAGGATGGGTTTGCGGATTGAGCATACACATTGTTACGCTGCAGACGGGAAAGATGCTGGAGGCCATTATCATTATGATTTGGACGATACGGAGGATGATATTGAGTATGAGGCGTATTTCAATACTGCCAAAATGATATATCGACTAGACAGGCCAAATTGATTCTGGTGAGCTTACCCTGAACCTGCCAGGAGTTTCGGAATCTGTTTTTTCCTGTTCCGCCACAGCACCTCATAAGGGTCAGCGAACCGTGACAAAGTTTGTATGAGAGACATCAGATTAAGTTCTGTTCGTTGCTCCTGCCAATGAAAGTCAATAATAAAACCGCTGCGCATAACGGCGTTCGACAAGCAAACGGTCTACATGATTTGGAATTGTCGCGTCACTCTCAACCAATCATAAGTCGTTGCGGGCGAATGGTTTAGTGGTATAATACTCCCTTAGCATGTTCTCTTTCAAGAGATGTACTTCTGGGAGTGGTCCAGGGTTCGATTCCCTGTTCGTCCAAGATAGGTGGTTTAAACCCACCATTATCCGCTTCTTTTTTCTCGATTCATCTTTTTTGCCCTTCGTCCTCACTATCAATGTGATGATCTGGTCATGGATCAGTACAGTTCAGCTAATCCTTTTGCCCGGGTACTGCATGCGAGTCCTTCCCCAGATTGGGTACCTCGTCATTGAATCGCACGTTTTCAACTCGTGATGCTCGTATACGAACTGCTGACAATCAGTCAGAACACCACGGAACAACCCATGATTTCTCGTATCCTGCCTTACGAGACTGCAGGTCATAAATTCTAAGTCAAATAAAAATAAAAATAAAAATAAAGCTGACCCTTGATCCCAGTCTCGTTTTTTTGCCAAGACCCTAAGCAAAACCTTCAAAAGGCTTGCAGCCGCAACGGGATAGCCGATGCGGCTTGAAAGATACTAGCGCTGACTTTATCGTGTTCAAAATGTCCGGTTGCGACGTTGACAGGTGATGCATGAGGAAATCCCCGGTCTGTAAGATCTGGAGAACAACGTTGCAGAATGTTGGATGTTGAAGCTGCATCATTGAAGGCTGAGCATGGCTCTGGAGAGATAAGGGTCTTGAGGCGGCTGTCATTCTGTATTGGGCATTGGCCGAAGCCATCGTCAATAGTCAACGGTGGCTAGCGTTCAAGTGGCACGATCAAGTCCGTATCCAAAAGTGACGGAACCAACGCCATCACCAACGTTGCAGCTCTTCTAGACTATCAATTCGTGAGATCAGAGGCGCCTGCCAAGTCAATACCTGGAGAAAGAATCGAAGCATTGGATGCACGTTATTGAGCCAGCAGATTGTATTGCATGACATGTTACGGCGTGTTATTTCCACATATTGTACATCTCCAATACAGTGCAAGCCAGCAAAACACAGGCGCAAATGTTTTGTCCAACCCACCGTCATGTCCATGTCACAAATCGTGTGTCGCCAAGAAAAATAGGCGCACTGCATCGCTTCCATATCACATTACTCACAGAAACTCCGCCCCATCCAATCTATTACTTCTGCCAGGTTTCAAGGATACGTCTCACCAGCCGTATTGTGCGACATTTTGTTCCACGCAATCAGGGGGTTATTTACTCCTTACAGTTGCAGTAGATATTACAAGAATTCCGATATTCCCACGGCAAGTCGGCAGTTTTTAATTTGTTGCATGGGGGATCCCCGCGGATCGCCGTGCCGAAAGAAGTGATGTCAAAAAAGAGCTTGCGCGGCGGCTTGACTCGCAGTGTGGATCTGGAACTCAATAGAGGCTTTCTGTTCAGCTGGGTACCAAACCTCTTTTGTGGCGTCTCATCATGTTTCTGGCACGTTGCAATGGCGTTATTCCACTGGGCGCGCTTCTATTGAGCAGAAGCTGGGCTTGCATTCCAGCGGCTACCGTTTTACCAACCAACCGCCACTGATTAACGCAAGGATAATGCAAAATGCTGTCGCAGTTGTTTTACGGTATGAATCATGTTTCAGATAAAACAGAGGGCGAGATAGGGAGGGGTTTCACGTTTTACGGCAGATCCAGTAGCAGGGCCGAGAACTGCGGAGACCCGGTTAGATCGGATGGTACAGGGGATCCAGGGAGAGAGAAGAACTGACATGCTTGGCGAAAGCTTGACCACGCGGCGTCTAAACAACCTTGACCTTGACCTTGGTTTTGTGGGTGTTATGACGAAACGGAATACGATGTGGGTTCGTATGACTAGCACCAACTGTCTCCCGTATAATTCAAGCTATGGCCGCTTGAGTTTATTCGCCCCGTCAACTCTACCTCTCTTTCATGTTCACAGCGGCTTGATGATACCACCATGCGGTCTCACAACCACTTGCTGCGCGGCGTGCTAACGTTCGTGGCCATCTTGACTTTTTGCATTCTTCTTACAACAATATTTCATATCAAAATATCAGACAGTCTTTCAATCACACCAATTCAAGAACGGCCTTTCTTTTATGAGGAGCAACCCCCACCTGAAGACCCAAATCGCTCCGAACCGCCAAAGAAGACATCGCCAAAGGAGCCTTTCCATCGACGACCTCAACACAAAGACGATAATGATAAGAAAAAGGATCAATCGAATACTCAAGATGACTACTACGATCTCCGCCTCGACCGTGGCGACGATGCTGAGGATAAACCATACTACGACTACCATCTCTTGACCAGTCTACGGAATAACATGGGCTTTTACAACAAGATTGATGCGAGAAAGACTGGTCATAAGCTTTTTAATCCGACAATACTTGAGCTTCCTCGCGATGCTAATATCACTCATGACTTTCTCGTCATCGCTCGCACAACGCATGTCGCAAAGGAAATCAACGGCAAAAAGTACAAAGTTGCTCGTCAAGTCGCTACCTTTGCGAACCTGACCACCAACTACCTTGACCGACCTGTCATCAGGACCGGTGAATGGTCTACACTGCTGCTGGAGGACTTTGGTGGACCCGAACACCACTGCAAGAGACAACCCGACATGGATAAGTACGTCGGCCCAGAAGACATGAAACTATTCTGGACACGCGCCGGCGAACCTCTTCTCATTTTCACTCATCAAGTCGACGATGAGACAATGTGTCAAGGCCAATTCCTCATTGACGTGCGCGCCGCCCTCCCCGAGCTCGAACAAGCCCTCGGCCCCGACTTTTCATCCCGTCTTCCCCCAATCCGCTTCGCCGAACCAACAGGTCTCGCTCGCGAACCAGCACCAGGCCAAGAAAACCACCCTCGATACCAGCGCGAGAAGAACTGGGCGCTAGCTCAGTCCCCCTTCAGTCCAGACTCCGAGCTTCTAATGATGGTGGAGCCGGGACAATTATTCCGTTGGAAATCCGCCGACGAGCCCGTCGAACCCATCGTCGCGGTTGACGACCAGCAATCAGCTGTTGAAGAACCGTACCCACCGACGGCGAAGCCGGGAAAGACTTGGCACGGCAAGAAGAGGAAGACATGCATCCACGACGTCATGATCGACGATAGCCACGTCCACCAGAGCTCACCCATGCTAAGTGTCACAATGTGCAACCGCGGAACATGCGAACCCGATGAGCAAAACACCGTGTTGATGGGCATCGTGCAGCGCCGACAAGACTTCCCGGGCGCTTCGTTTACATGGTATGACCGTCGGATAGCAGTGTACGAATCAGTAGCGCCGTACCGCATGATCAGCGTCGGCAAGAAGCTCACGTACCACGGGGAATCGGACCTCAGCTATTCATGGACGGGCTCCATGTCGTACTACACCAACCAGACCGAGTTCCCACCGTCGAACCACGGATATCTCGACGATGAGGTCTGGCTGGGCTTTGGCGTCAAGGATGCAGCCGCTGGGTGGCTGGATGTTCGGGCCAAGGATCTCATTGCAGATCATTACATGTGTCAGGGGGCATCGGTGGAATACAGGTATTATAGACAGGGTATTTCGGCATAGCGCGGTGTGTTTTTTTTTTTTTGGGTTGGCGTTAGAGGGACTAGACTACGGACACTGCTTCTCTTTGTTCTGTTGACTAGAGATGATTCGATACCAAATTTTAATATTTTGATAATCATGAATATCCTGTGTTGGTTGTTTGATGTTTGTCAGACTATTGATGGACAGATTTTGTTAGTGTCGGTCAACTGCCGAAACAGGCTTAGACGCAAGGGGTAAACGAAACGGTAGTTGGTGCAATACGAGAATTTCAAATGGAGATAACCCAAGAATGATATGACATGTTTTCCGCCTAGTAAAAATAGCAGTCAATAGTCACGATCAAACGAGTCAGGCGTTAACCGTCAATTGGATGATAAGGGGTTGGTCCAGATCTGTCGCATTGCAACAACTGACCGCAGAACTACGGTGCAGTCACGTCACAGACGATCATCCATTTAGTAAACCCAAAAACCTGGCATAAACTGGAGCAAGTTTATACTTCTCCAATTTGATTGAATGCGTTAGTGAGTTCTGACGCTGATCCGGCATCTCGGCCAATTATGGAGAAAAAGACTCAAGATCGACCCACGGATACACGGCAAAATGTTGTCGCGTCTTCATCAAAAATATCGGCTAAAACGGCTCAGACTAACCAACGGAGAGATGTTTCAGAACATGAGAATCGCATAAATTTTGTCTCGCGTATATAATACAAGGGAGAACGAAATGATAGGAACTCGTTACGATTCTTGTTACGAATGAACGATGCAGGGGTTGGAGGATGAACATTTTATTACACCAACAGAGTTTATATCACAATCCAGTCCTGGAACTCTATTCTTCGCGTAATGCTGAGAGATGTGATTAGGATTTGTTGGGGGCTTGGATGTCTTCCACGTCTTCGTCGTCGATTCGTTTTGCGCGGCGTGCTGCGATGCCGACATCTTCGACGTTGGAAAAGTCCGCGACGCCAAAGACTTCATCCATGCGTTCCAGTGAGATCTGTGAATCATTCGAGTCAGATTCTGGGTGAGTGCATGCATGGGGATGACTTACGCCCTTGGTTTCTGGGATCCAGTATGCAGCAATCGCCATGAACAGGTTAAACGATCCAAAAATGAAGTACGCTCTCCATGGATCGTGCAAAAGCATGACTGGCGTTGACTTTGATACTGCAAGGTTATGTACCCAGTGAGTAAAGGATGCGAGGGCAACGTTGTATGCACGAAGTCGATTCGTTGGAATTTCAGAGACATAGATCCATGCTATGGAGATCAGTACGATAACCAGACCGCCAAAGTCTGAAAACTCACAGACAGGACCCCAACTCATGTTGAATGCCGCAGCAAAGATGTATATCATCGCCAAAGCAGCAATCCCCGCCGGAGGAGGATGGTCGCCCTCTCCAGGCTCAGGACCGAAGCGGAGATACTAGCAACGTCAGTGGGAGTGAAAAGGGGGAGCGGATTACATACAAAACCGACGAAGAACATGCAGAATGCTTGGATTGCACCGCCGAACATGAATGACTTGCGACGGCCGAGGGAATCGGCGAGGAAGAAGATGAAGATCAAGCATGTAACGACTTTGACGACGCCGTAGATCTGAAGAGTGTTAATGAGTGATGGGGGGAGAAGATGTAAAGGTACTTACTCCTTGTGCGAACAGCGCAGTTGTTGTACTGCTGAGACCTAAACCGCTGAAGATCTATCAAACATTAACGTGGGCACCTGACGAGCATAAGAAAAGACTTACAGTTGGTGCGTAGTAGTTAATAGCACCAGTCTGCACTTCGTTAGCAACCATTTGTCCAAACTGTCCAGCTGTAGAAGTAACTCACCCCCGTCCATTGCCCAAGCGTAACGATAGCCACCGTCAAAAGCGCTCTCTTCCTATTCCACGGTAAAGTCCAACACTCTTTCTGAATAGCCCAGAACCCCGTATCCTGCATGACCTCCCTCTCCTGATCAATCTGCGTCTTCAACTCCAACAGCTCCTGCTGAATATACGCATGATCCACCGGCAACTTTCTCACATCTGAAAGAACAGCTCCAGCCTTCTCCCACTGATCTCGAGAGGCTAGCCAGCGTGGCGATTCTGGACAAAAGAGCATGCTGAAGAAGAGTAAAGCTGGACAGATGGATTGGCACGCTAGGGGGACCATCCATGTCGCTTTACCGGGGAGATGCAGAAGGGAGCCGTAGTTGATGAAATAGGCTGTCATGCCGCCGAGGACGAGGAGGAGTTGGAAGAAGCCGACGAGAAAACCGCGGATTGCGCGGGGGGAGTTTTCGGAGACGTATGTTGGAGCGAGCATTGTTCCTGCGCCGAGACCGAGACCTTCGACGAATCTGCAGCCATCAACATCTAGTCATGAAGCGCTGGTTGATGTCATGGAACTTACCGTCCGATATAGAAGACTGAGAGGTGACCGTAAGAAAACGCTTGCATGATACCACCGATGAAACCCGTCACCGCAACAAGAAGCAGCGCTGGCTTTCGACCCTTGCGATCGGCAAATGGACTGGACAGGAGAGCTCCAGCGATAGCACCGGCTTGCATTGTCGTGACGAGGTTTCCTGCTAGATCAGCTGCGTCTTCTTTTGGCCGAGTATCAAGACCAAACTCCCTATTAAACCTGTGTCAGCGGGGTTCCCATTGCAAGGCAGCTTTGAAACAAACCGTTTGAAGTCTGGCATAGCCAGCACGCCACCAATGATACCTGCATCAACTCCAAACAGCGCTCCAGCAAAACACGCCTATAAATGTTAGTCCACTATCCCTGAATCATTGCAGCAAATATCCTACTGAAGCCGTCAAAGCGATGACACGCCAGTTGTAAATCTCCGGCGGATCAACACGAATAGCATCATTGCGCACAATGCGCCGAAACATGCCATGTATCGTCATCTTCACTCACTTCTCTCGGATAAAAGATCAAAGAAGGATTGACGATAGGAATTAAGCTCACAAGTGCACCATGGTTTTAAGTAGTGGAGACAATGAAGGTCAACACCCTCTTTTACGGGAAGGCAAACAAACATAATGCGGGGTGCAGATCATGTCCTGGGGTAGAACATGTCGGCGGGGAGTCTCGGGCGCGTGATTCGATGATGGGCTTGGCGGACGACGCGGGGAGTCTCGGGTAGAGGCGTAGGCTATCGGTTTGGAGGGTTTATAATGCATAGGTCAGCGAGTATTGCAGAATACAGAAACACTGTGCGCTGTTCGCTTGGTTTATTGAGGTCACTGGTTGGGGTTGTATGCATAATCTCGGAGCTCTTACGTTGGGGGCTGAGCAGAAGGGCTGCCTCTTGCGGCCGTAATACAACAAATCACCGTGCATGATGTAACCTGCCTCGTATATTCGTTCAATTCAGTATCTGGGCAACAAAATCCCACTGCAAGATACAGTTGATTGTGCATTAAGGGTATCACAAATCACATTCAACACCGCCCCAATCGTACAAAGTCTCGCTGTCAGGTCTCTCGACAAAGCAGCGTCACCGATGCTGACCATCCCAAAGTGCATCTGGGTTCTCCCAAATCTGCCCCAGTTCTGATCTTAATGAAGGTGTAGGCCAACCACATCTCTCCTGACATGTATCCAGCATTTCTACTACACATTCTCGCTCTCGGGGATTCTGCATGAACATCCCGGCTGTATAAGCTGTCAGATTATAAATCCAGAGATTGCATTGGGGACCTACCAATGAAGAGACATTGTGAGGACAGCATGCTCGATGCATCCTCTGTAAGCGTCATGCCAATTCCGCATACCATCTTTATACTCTCTTGAATCTCCTTCTGGCGCTTGAGTAGGCCTTGGATGCCGTCTAAATGGGGTTCATGTGCGGTAATGAGGATCTTAGAGCAATGGTGAAGCTGCACAGCGAGTCCTGTCTCAATCAGCATCAGGCCCAATTTCACAGTTGGTGACTGCTTACCAAAGCATTGAGGATGTATCAAATGTGGCTGAAACACTTCACTCTCCCGACTCCCCATGGTCGGCAACGCTGAGAACTCAACTGTGAGACGAGACCGCCACTCATCCAACATCTTCCTCAAAGCCTTCGCCCAACCAATCCTCCCCGTCAACCCTTCCACCTCAGCAGACGAATCAACAGCGCAAAAGTTGATAACTTGCGCCATTATCCATACAGCACGCGAAGCTAATTCATGACTGTCTAAATCTGCGTATCCCTTCTTTGGCATCCAAGTACTATATGTTCTCCTCTTCTCACGGAAAGCAACCCAAATATCCTGTCGTAACCAAGCCCACCACGTCGTACTTTCAAGGCTCGATGTTTCAACTTCAATCTGGCGAGATCTCAAGATCCAGAAGACACCTTGGAGATGTTGTTGCCAATCTTTGCGTGACCCTCGTAGCATCTCATACGTTGAGACCATAAGCGTTGTCGCCATGAGTTCCTGACTATTCTGATACGTCGAATAACGCATAGCTTTCTGAACGTAGTGTAATGTTTGGTAATAATACTGCAGAGCTGTGTTTTGAGACGGACGTTGATTGGAAGGGATGCTTTCGTCGAGAGATTGGTGATAGCATGATAATGCGAGAATGGCGTTGAGAAGACCCGCATTTCGGACTGCTAGATGAGGAACTCGCGTAGAAAATGTCCGAGCTGGATCGAACAAGTCAAGCTGATAAGAGGTCAGTATGCATGCACCTGCAGAACGTGATCAACATACCCATGAACATATGCGGTGCAGGAAGTTCTGAAACAAGGTCTGTTCTCGATCGAGGAGTGATATACTCCGCGAGGCCTTCCATAAGCTTTCTTCGGAAACATTCGCTGCATGATCGTTGACTGCATCCCGGGTCGGTGGTTGAGCATCGATGATCCTTGTTGCTTTCTGCAATGGCGTGATGTCGTTATCTGCTTGACCGTCGGGTGATGTATCAAACAATTCACCGTCGAGACCCAAAGGTGCATCAGCGTCTGGGAAGGCTTCGTTAGATGCATCGTTGGCAAGGATGCCGAACCATCGAACTGCAGCGACGCTGGCTGATGCTGCTGGTGTTGTTGAGTTTGAGTCGGATTGTCCTCCAGACCAGTCATAGTAGGGTAGCTGTTGTGCCTGAACATTCGCATCCCAGTTCAAACCCTCAGCGACATGTACATTCTGAGCAGCACCCAAACCGGCGTGCGACTGCGACGCAGCAATCGATCGCACAGTCTGCGTCAACTCATCCTGCGAACTAATAATCTGACCCAACTGTCTCAGGATCTCCAGACTCGCAGGATCAAAGCTGCCATAAACGTCAGCATTTGTCTTCCAAGCAGGGATGAACTCACGTAGAATGATCCTTCTCGGTATTATCATACGAACACGAAATATTCAACGACGCACAGAATCCACACGTCGGCTGCACATTATCGCACTTTGTCTTACGTGCTCTGCATACATGACACGCCTTGAGACTCCTCTTCCTGGGATATCGCGGATCGGACGCGGGTTGACGCGGTCGCTTGCGTGCATTGTCCTCCGACATTGTGAGGATGTAAGGATCGGGGAGATGTGTGATTACTTCCCGAGGAGTTGAGGGGGGAAATGTCTTGGCGGTGTTGGTCATGAGAATAGGATATGCACGTGCTGTGTGACCCCTCACGGGGAGTCTCGGGTATGGGGAAGTGAAACGCAGATCTGGGGAGATCGGCGGGAGAAGGATTCTGTGAGACGAATTAAAACAAGACCATTCCCATGTTTGCTCGATATTTACTTTTGCAGTCTCGGGTTATCATTTATTGAGTTGATTGTTGGTCAACTTACCAGCCACCAAAGATGGGCGAACTCTCTGAACCTCCCAATGGCCGTGTCAAAAACAGCGTCTCGTGGCAAACAGCTCATTTAAAGACCCGACCACAACACTTCTCAACAGACATTCTCATCGCAGGCGGTGGATTGGGCGGTGTCGCAGCTGCGCTCGGAGCTCTCCGTCGAGGCCGGCATGTTTTTCTCACTGAAGAATATGACTGGCTAGGCGGCCAATTGACCAGCCAAGCTGTACCTCCTGATGAGCATACCTGGGTTGAGCAATTCGGTGTCACACGGTCTTATCGAGCACTTCGTGATGGCATACGGCAGTATTATCGCGATAATTACCCGTTGACAGAGGAGGCGAGACGAAGGGCGCAGTTGAATCCCGGGGCGGGACATGTCAGCAAACTTTGTCATGAGCCGAGAGTTGCTGTGGCTGTTATCGAAGCCATGCTCATGCCGTTCATCGGTAGTGGACTTCTCACTGTTAAGAAACGCGTCAAGGCTGTTTCTTGTAAGATGGTTGGGCAAGTTGTGAGGTCTGTGGAGTTTCGAAAACTGGATGATGGAGGGACTTTCACTGTTGACGCAAAGTACGTCATTGATGCTACAGAGCTAGGAGATTTGCTACCCATCACCAAGACGCCGTATGTGACGGGCTTTGAGTCTCGAAAGGATACAGGAGAGCCGAGTGCGCCGGAGGAAGCGCAGCCTCAGAACTCTCAAGCTGTATCGATTTGTTTCGCCGTGGATCACATCGAGGGGGAAGACCATACGATTCCCAAGCCTGAGAGATACGATCACTGGAGAAGCTTCCATCCTGAATTTTGGGGTGCGCCATTGCTTGGCCTCAAAGCACCGCATCCTCGAACTCTTGAGATTGTTGAGCGAGAGTTCACGCCAAATCCGAACGATGATCCAGCTTCAGTGATTTCAGACCAGAGAAAGTCAGGAGGCGATATGAACCTCTGGACATTCAGACGAATTGCAGCGAAAGACAACTTCATACCTGGAGCATATCGTTCAGATATTTGTCTTGTCAACTGGCCCATGATAGACTACTTCGAAAAGCCCATCATCGACGTCTCAGAGGATGAACTTCAAGACCGCCTTGCTGAAGCTGCGTCTTTGTCGTACAGTATGCTGTACTATCTCCAGACAGACTGTCCACGCGCCGATGGAAAGGGTACAGGCTACCCGGGTCTTCGCTTGAGAGGTGATATCACTGGTACAGAACATGGTCTCGCCATGGCCCCCTACGTGCGCGAATCTCGACGCATCAAAGCTGTAACTACGATTGTGGAGCAAGATCTCTCCCTCGACGTCCGCGGTTCGAAAGGCGCAGTGCATTATCCCGATAGTGTCGGTGTAGGCATGTATCGCATCGACCTTCATCCATCGACCGGTGGGGATAACTACATCGATGTAGCATGCTGTCCATTCGAGATTCCCCTTGGTGCTTTGATACCAGTTGAGAGACCGAACTTACTCGCAGCGTCAAAGAATATCGGGACTACGCATATTACGAATGGATGTTACAGGTTACATCCTGTTGAGTGGAATATTGGTGAGGCAGCGGGGTTGTTGGCAGCGCATTGTTTGGACAAAGAATTGTCGCCGCATGAAGTGCAGGGGAAGAAGGAGTTGTTTAAAGAGTTTCAAGATATGATCATCAAAGAGGGTATTGAGACGGGGTGGCCTGATGTATCTGGATACTAATCAGACTTCGTAGAGTTGCCATGCTGGGTAACGCGGAGTAGAAAAGAGCATAAGAGTCTTGTATCAAGGCATAGATGATGGAATGAAAGCTTGGTGGAATTCAACTACAGACTACTTTGAAGAGACAATATAGATCCAAGCCATATCAGCAGGCACTTGGGTCTCACTCATATGACTTCTGTAGCTGATTCCCTTCAACCTGCTCCGCAAAGTTGGGAATATGAGTAGTATGGCACCACGGCTTCAAGCTCTCTTCCTTCCTAATCGTAGCAGCAAAACATCCCAGCCATCCCTCACGAGGAAAAGCGTTGTTGACTTCCTCGCGCGTCTTCTCATGAATGATCTTCCCAAAGTCTTTGACATTTGGATGTTCACCAACATTATCGTAGATAGTAGCCAGTTGGATGAGTTGCCCGAGAAAAGTGATTCTTCCCTCGGTGCCGAGATCTTGATGACGAATTATAGTCTCGCAAACGGCTTCGGCTTGGTCTTTGGTAGAGCCGTTGTCTTGAAGGAGGTTGAGAGCTTGGAAGCCGCCTTGAAACTCAAAAGAAAGGCGGGTTGAGGACATGTTTTCGTCGGTGGTGCCGATGTCATGGAGGAGGCATGTTAGTGCCAGGGTCGAAGGGGAGAGAGTGCCAGCATGCTCTGGGAATTGCTGTCGGAGAATGACAGTCGCTGGTGGAAAGGTCTGTTAGGATGTGGAGTTCTTCGGAGGTCAACTTGACTTACACCAGTAGTAAACTCTCATGGAATGGTTATAAGTCTGCTTCAGGAGTTTATCTTTGGCATGTTGCCGTGTCTTCTCGACAATTGGGTCGTCGTTTGGGAACTGGATGCTCTCAACATCAATGTACTCAGGTTCATTGATGTAAGGTCCATTCTTGAAGATCTTCCCGGCGTCAACCGGGACTGCAGTCCATCCATTGATGGCGACGTCGTCGGAGCTCATGTTGAGAATAGCGTAAGAATTGACAAGACACAGAGAGAGAAAATTGATAGAGAGATTGAGGATACAAAGACAAAATGAGAGAGAAATGCGACGAATAAATAGTGAAGATTCGGCGCTGTATTTCTAATCAAGACTATCAACCTGAGGACGTCGTTTGAGGGGTAACGCGCGACTACCAACCTCAGGCCATCGGTTTTGGAGTTTTTGGTCTCGATGATGATGAGCTGAGTTATGTCATCATGCCCGCTGACATCTTTGCGTCATTATCACGAGGCATACACTTCACGTCCATTGAGTTGGAACTTCTTAGTATAAGTGTTAAATAGATTCTTATTTCATCAGTGAAATCACAACCGCCTCGGAAATTTAGACCTTTCCAGCGACAAGCTCATATGAAGGCGGTGGAGCCTCAGACGCAGGCAACTCGGCCTCATGTCGAACAGCCGGAGTTGAGGGACCTGCCTCAACTTCCCTTGGTCGAAGGAGTTCCTGCAAATCCTTTCTCCCAACAGCCTTGATGAACTTGACAGCTTCTTGATTCTCTTTAGCTGTAGGATCAGCACCGTAATCCATCAACTTCGCCGTCAAGTTGTAATCAAGTTTCATCAGCGCCAGCATCAGAGGCGTTCTGTTCAGTCCATCGACCTCATTGACATCAACACCTTGTGCTAGCAGCGCCTCAACAGTGTTCTGGCGGTTGACGTCGATGGAGTATGTGAGGAGCGTTTGGCCCGACATCATGCGAACCTTAGTGTTGACGGCTCGGCTCAGAAGCGCTTGCACCACCGGGGTACTGGGCATTTCGACAGCGTGACAAATAGCTGGCAGACCGAAGGTTATATCAACCGTTTCAGGACTCGCACCATTAGTCATCAACATCTTCATAACCTCAACCTTCTCGTCGTTGTTCAAAAACGGATTTCTGATAACCTTAATGAGAATAGGTTGCTGAAGCGCATCTGTCCCATCAACATCGGCACCCCCCTCGATGAGTTTCTTCACGATCTGGAATCTCTTCATTCCTATTGAAGCCTCTAGAATACTCGTGCCAAGAACATTCAACAGTTTCGCACTTGCGCCTTTGTCAAGGAGTAGTCCAACCATATCGGCGTTGCCGCTTTGGACAGCTGTGTAGAGAATGGAATGTTTGACTGCACTTTCGGCATTGGGATCGGCGCCGTGATCGAGGAGGATATTGGCAAGTTCGACATTGCGCTTTTTGACAGCGTATACGATGATCTCCTCGCCTATTGCATCCTTGGCATTTGCGTTGGCGCCGTGGGCAAGAAGAAGACGGGTGATCTCGATGTTGTCCGTCTTGACGACCTGTACAATGACTTCCTCTCGCCTCTCATTCTTTGCATTTACTGGAGCGCCATTCTCAAGGAGGAACTTGATACCGTCCAGGTTGCCTTTAGCAACAACATCAACAAAGTAGGGCTTTCCAGTCTTTGATTTGCCGTGTACACTCTCCCCAGAATCGATAAGCATCCTGGCGATCTTGAGACTTCCAACAGAAGCAGCCTTAAATAAGTGCGGTAGCTTGTTGCTTTGTGCCCCAGCTTGTAGAAGAAGACATGCGGTTCCAACTTGATCGTGTCTTATGGCGCACTTTAGTGGTGTATCCCCGTCTTCGTTTCGACCGTTGACGTTTGCGGCTTGGGAGATTAGGCCGGAGACTTGTTGCTCGTCTCCACGAGTGGCGGCTTGGCAGAGCGTTGAGACCAATGGATCGTGTTTGCGGAAGCCTGATGTGAGAGCTCTAAAGAATGAGGAACCTTTGGGACGGCGACAGTTGTTTACCGGGCTTTGAACGAGTGGTGGTGAAGACATTGATGGCGATGCTATGGGCGGCGATGTCGTCGTTTGTGCGGGTACTGAATACGAAGGTGGTGCTACTTCTTTCTCCGCGACAGGGGTTTTCTCGCTGTTGGACATGGTATCCTTTTGGGCAGTAGTATCCGGTTTGACAAGCCTCTTGTTCAGAGCCGACTTTACTGCTTCTTGAGCTTGATGGGTAAAATAACCCGAGCCAGATGGGCCTAAAGAATCATCCTTCCTGGCTGGATATTAGAAAGTGAGTCAATATTTGGAACTGGCAACGCACCTAACGAGGCGAGTGTAAACCTCAAGCATGTCATTGTAAACACTAAGACATTCTTCATGTGCCTTCAAGGATTCACTGTCCCATCCTGCTACATTCTCTGCCTGCCAACTGTCGAGTTGTATACGTAGAACCTCGAGTGCCGTTTCGTAAATCGTAAAGAGGGGAATGAGAGTCTCGCGATTATCGCGGAGTTTACGGCTGTCGGGTTTGACATGGAGGAGCTCTTCCAATTCAGCAAGTCTGCGCTTCAGCTCATCAAGACCAGATGATATGATCTTGAGCTCAAGAACGTGCTGTTCATCTCGTTCGGCTACCTTATCTGCGGCGGCTGCACAAAATGCTGCGCGCTTCGAGATGGACCTACACAGTTTGATGAGATCGATGCTGGATGTCGCAGTCATGATTGTGGGCTCTGGGCGTTGTGTTGATGATGGTTGACAAGATTGGGGCCGGTCTGGAGATATATGATGCGGGGAGGTAGCCAATGCTTGGCTGTCAGGTGTTAAACCTGATGTGTGATATTTCGGCCGAGCTTGTCGTGAGTTGATGACGATGATTGACAGGGGCTTTGACATGGATGCGTGGCGCGGCGTAGCGTCGAGACTAACAGCCCTACAACATGATTCTCTCTTGTTTACCTTTCTCGGAGCATCCTTTTCTCATCCGGCCATTTATACGAATCAATCCTCCATCTAATCATGTTTCTACTGAGATTTCAAAGGTTAGTAGCACTTCTATATCCACCAACAACCTCTGCCAATGGCCAAGTCTGCTGAAACGCCCTACCGAATGCCTCATGCACCTCAGCGGCTTGGCTCAACCCAATGCGGCATAGCCACCACACAGTTGATCCTTCGTCCAAGACGTTTTGGGAAATCCTTTCGATGCTGCGGGAAATGCTTATGGATTGGCAACCTTCTCGAATGCGCCGCTACCAAGGTTCTGTTGTGAACGCGTCATTAAAGTAGGACGTTAAAAACTCGTGATCGACGCTCTAAGTTAAGTGACCTGTGAAAAGTCTCTTTGGGATGGAGGTTTGTAGTTTGTAAACTTGCGGTGCGAGTATGGTGCTTGGCGAAAGCTCTACTGTGAGGTGAGCCAGTTGGGTATCATCCGAGGCACCAAGTGGGCAAGGGCCTTATCAGGGACTTGGGACGAAACAATATCAACAATATAATAACCGGCCATGTGATTTATCGCAAAACGCAGTGTGGGTTCATTAGGCTAGCGAACAGAACACCTGGCTAGACAGGTTGGCTCACAGTATGCTATGGTACATCGCCAAACCCTTTTCCATATATCAACCACTGTCCCCAAAAGCAACAACAAAACCAAAGGTCCACGATTCTCCAACTTGACCACAACAGTAGAGACTCATCATCTACTCCTTGACATGTCCAGAGAGGCGGGTGAGCTTGGGACCCTTGACAGGGACAGCGTCGTCAGATACTGAAGCCGCCTTCTGCTTCTGCTTCATGACAGCATCCAACTCAGTGTTCTTGGTGATGATGACATATTCCTGGTTGACAGCCTTGCTGGCCTTCATCCCGACAGCCCGAGGGGTCTTGGGCGCTGCGTGATCGATGATCTCGATCCAGTCCTCAAAGGATTGGTCCTGCTCGATTTCGAAGTCTTCAAGCGCGCGAACAGACTTTTCGACATCCTTTCCGGGGACCTCGGAAGCCTGGACCTTGCGGTTGAGGGGCTTCTTTGCGACCAGGATTCGAAGCATGGTATGACTTGCGTTCTGAAGTCTGAAGTTCGGTTGTCAGCACTGAAGTCATGTTCGGAGTGGTGCAGTCTCGGTTACCTTGGTTTGAAAGATGTATTTCTCTTGAGAGTACGAAGGTAGTCGATGGCAGAGAGATAGATTGTTGCAATCGTGAGGAATGTTTTGTTGTTGATGATGCTTGGTATTGTTGTTTGTTCAGGAGGAGAAGAAACAGAATTCTGATTTGGGATTCTGATAGAAAGGCACACCTCGGTGGAGAAGGGAAGTTGAATGAAGGCTCTACTGCCACTGCTCCGAGGAAAGCGTTTGTCATTGGTTATGAAAGAGAAGCCGTTTGAACAGGCCCATTGTTTGCTTTCAACCGGATGAAACTAGCCCCTATGACACTAGTCTCTCGAACAGCAGAATGTTCAGTCGAAGCTATCAGCTGTTGGCAGTGAAGGATGCTGGTCTTTGCAGATACGTATTAATGGTTCAAAAGTAAGTTATCTATTGGAGGGAGGAAATACCCCAGCGGAGCGGTTTTAACGCTGACCATTTCGTTCATGGACACCCCGGTACTGTTCACGCAGTGGAATGCAAAATACTTGAAATGGCTTGGCTAACTGTGAATGTCCTGCTTGTTCAGTGTCTCAGTTGGGGACGTTGTTCTTGTCCTTTGAGATCGATCCAAAGACTTGTGGCTGAGAGCTTATATCAGCACAGAGAACTTAGAGATTGATCCAAGATTGGTTTGATGGAATACTAGCACGAGAATGAATTTCTTGAGGTTTTGCTTCTCATTCTTGGACAAAAGGATTGCTTTGGTGGTTTTGCCATGCTCCTATTGCGATGCCTCGGGCCAGCCAATCGATCGGAAGCTCTTGTGAGCTGTCTCCGAAGATGGAAGGCCACTGGCTAGGTAATAGCAAGCTAAGTTAAGAACAACAACCCGAAAGACTGGCATGCATACACTACTAACTCTTGAGAGCAAGGCTGTTCTCAGGGATAAGATGACGAGAAGATTTGCGCCAACAGATGTTGAAAACGCCAAAACTTACTTTCGGCGACGTATCTTGCTTCCATCCCAACACTCCGCCAAAGAGAAACCGCCCTGGATAGTTCGACCATAGGCTGGGCCGCTTCTACTGGCACAACGTATCCAAGGTGAAGTCGGTCTGGAGATGGAAAGGGTCAGTCAAATGAGCACAGCATTGGGATTTTAGATCACAAGAGTCGCGGACAGTATGATGAACAGATAATATTTATTGACTAGGAACTAGATCACCAATCGAAAGAAGCTCAATGTTGATATGGCTGTTCATGTTTCAGATATGAACCACACAAAAAGACAACAACGAAGGCTACAGAAAAGGACCGCTCTTATAATCCGATTCAAAAGAGAATTACAAAACAAATAGCGAGGCATCAGATTAAAAGAAGTACGAAGGTTCGAAAACATGAACAGCCTATATCAGGCGAGCTTCATAGATCTATGACACCAGAACCGAAAGACCAGCCCGGCCCAACGCTACATATGATAGTCATGATTATGAAGCCGAGCTTATTTGTCATAATCACCCCAATAATCATAGTAGTCATGGGGAGGGTTTTGATTATAGTCATAGTAGTGGTCGCTATTATAATATGGGTCCTTGAAATATGGAATTCGTTCATCTCCAAGCCGGGGCGCGCCGACAGGAGGAGGAGGAAGCGCGCCAACGGGAGGCGGAGGAGGAGGAGGCATGCCGACAGGAGGAGGAGGAGGCATGCCGACAGGAGGAGGAGGAGGCATGCCGACAGGAGGAGGAGGAGGCATGCCGAC